TGTCAACAAAAGGATGGTGGATGACAACCAATCAGAAGATCACAACGAAATACCAAATGAAACTAAAACTGTTGAATTTGGTGATGGAGAGGACTTAGAAAAAAAGTTTGCCAAATACCTCAACTCAATTCTGAAGTCTTATTTCCAAACAACCACTCCGGATGTGTGCACGCAGGCTTTTAGGCAAGTTGGTATTGATTTCAGAATTGTTGATGGTGGTATGAAGGTTGCGTATGTGGATATTGGAGTCTCACGCAGAGTAACAGCAGAAATACCGAAACTGTTAAGTATACCACAGTTATACTCGATTGAATGCGTCAAACCCAAAAGCTTGAAAATATCTGCAGTTCGAAAGCTTCCAATGTGTTTTGATGGTTATTTTTGTCAGTCTGTTTGCAAGCCGATCAAAAGAAAAGAACGGGATGTTGTATGTAAAGTTGTGAAAAAAAAGACGACCAAAAAAATCTCAAAAAGAACTAAAAATGGGGTTGAGAATTTAATCGATTGATTTTTATCTTTTTAATCAGTTGTATCACCGAGTTTACATTACTGTTTTCTATCACGGGTCAAAATGGTCACTGATTGGATCAACACATATCTGAACTGTCATAAGTCTTTCTAATAGAAGAGATTCGTTTGTTAAACGTTTTTGTTGTGAAGATAATAACTTGTAGAACTTGCTCGTAAAGACTCTTGAATTCAACGTTGCCTGCTTTGAATCGTCTAGTTGCTATGGCTGATTTGTCCAGTATTCCTGGAATTTTTTAGCGTGAGGTCTGAGTCAGTTAGTTGGTAAGTGCTGGCTGGCTGTTCACACTCTGAAAGCTGCTTTGTAGGTTTCCAAACAAATTGAAAGAGAAAATGAACTGTAAATAAGTGATTTTTTATTTGATCTTTTTGAATTTTTTGAAATAAAAATAATAATTTTATTACATAAAAGTTACACAATTGTAACTTTTGTTGAATCCACAGGGTTTTCTCATTCTCACATACTATTCTCACATATTGTAATAATATTTTATATTTTTTTCTCTTTCTTGAAAAAAGATTAATATTATTGTGTAATTATTTCAATACCAATTATATTTAAAAATTGTAAATCAAACTAATTTTTAAATGAATTCAAATTAAAAATAAAATTGAAACCGTGCAACTTTGGTGTGTCTGTGCAAAATTGTTTATAGTAAAATTATAGTAAAGCAATTGTATATTTTTTATAGAAACAAAGAAAACAAAAACACAATTCTTCAAAACTTATAGTTTAATTAAAAAACCATAACAAAAATATAACTACGCTGATTTAAATATACCATCATCTAATATATATTGTAAACTTCTTTGCGAATGTAGTTGATTATGTTATTGTGATCAAATTTTGGGAATTCAATTATGACAAAGAATCAACAACAAACAACTTGATGAAGAGCTGTCAAAATGGAATAATGG